TCAGCCTTCCAAGTAGCCGGAACTACAGGCACGTGCTACCACGCCCGGCTAATTTTTTTGCTTTATTGTAGAGATGAGGTCTCGCCATGTTGCTCAGGCGGGTCTCGAACCCACGGGCTCAGGCAATCCACTCACTTCAGCCTCCCAAGGCGCGGGATTACAGGCTGAGCCACTGAGCCCGGCTCAACAAAAATTTTTTTTAAAGAAAATTAGCCAGGTGTGTGCCTGTAGTCCCAGCTACTTGGAAGGCTGAGGTGGGAGGACCACTTGAGCCCAGCAGTTTGAGGCAGCAGTAAGCCATGATTGCACCAATGCCTGAGTGACAGAGTGAGACTCTATCCCTTAAAAAAAAAAAAAAAAGCAATTAAAAAATAAAGTAAAAAGAAAATAAATAGAACACAACAACACAAAGTCTTGCTGAAAAGACGTCTGTGGATCAGAAGAAAATCCGAGTTAATAGTGGAGCAAGATTTTAACCTCCCAGAGTTAAACAGTTGTGGGGAGAGGGTGGAGGCAGTGATGAATCAGACCCAGTTAGAAAATCTCCAGCCGGGCTTGGTGGCTCAGCCTGTAATCCCGCGCCTTTGGGAGGCTGAAGTGAGTGGATTGTCTGAGCACGCGGGTTCGAGACCCGCCTGGGCAACTTGGTGAGACCTCATCTCTACAATAAATCAAAAAACTAGCCGGGCATGCGCGCGCCTGTAGTTCCAGCTACTCAGAAGGCTGAGGTGGAAGGATCACCGGAGCCCAGCAGGTCGAGGTTGCGGTGGCCGGGAGCAGCCACTGCATTCCAGTCTGGGTGACAGAGTGAGACTCCAACTCAAAAAGAAAATCTCCAATCCGAGGTGAAAATTAAGCCGGTTTTACTAAAAGCGGCTTTAGTCTCCTGCATCAGCAGCTTTAGACTATAATAGGTTCTTTGGGGCATGGTGGCTCATGCCTGTCATCCTGGCACTTTGGGAGGCAGAGGCGAGAAAACTGCCTGAGCCCAGGGATTCAAGACCAGCCTGGGCAACTTGGGGTGACTTCATCTTTACAATAAATCAACAAATTATTAGGGTGTGGTGGTGTGTGCCCGTGGTTCCAGCTACTTGGGAGGCTGACATGGAAGGATCGCCTGAGCCCAGTAGGTCGAGGTTGCAGTGGTCGTGAGCAAGCCATTGCACTCCAGCCTGGGCAATAGTGACTCTTATTTAATAATAATAATAACAATAATAAATCTTAACAATTCCAGGTGATAAAAAGGCACCATTTGTCACAGAAAGATAAATATCACATGTTCTCACATGTATGTGATGTGTGTGGAAACTAAAAAAGTGCATGTCACAGAAGTAGAGGGTATGGCCGGGTGTGGTGGCTCAAGTCTGTAATCCCAGCACTTTTGGGAGGCTGAGGTAAGAGGATTACCTGAGCCCAAGGGTTCAAGACCAGCTTGAGCAACTTGGTGAGAACTCATCTCTATAATAAATAAAAAAATTAGCCAGGTGTGGTAGCGCAGGCCTGTAGTTCCGGTTACTCGGAAGGCTGAAGCAGAAGGATCGCCTGAGCCCAACAGGTTGATGCCGGAGTGGCAGTGAATGTGCCACGGTACTCCAGCCTGGGCGATGGAGTGAGACTCCAATTCAATAAATAAAAAAAAAAAAAGCCAGGCTCGGTGCCTCAGCCTGTAATCCTCACCTTTGGGAGGCTGAGGTGAGTGGATTGCCTGAGCCCACGGGTTCGAGATCCGCCTGGGCAACTTGGTGAGCCCTCATCTACAATAAATAAAAAAAAAAAAAAAAAATAAGCCGGGCGTGGTACTGCACGCCTGTAGTTCCAGCTACTTGGAAGGCTGAGGGGGAAGGATCGCCGGATCCCAGCAGGTCGAGGCTGTGGGCCTGGAACGGCCACTGCACTCCAGTCTGGGTGACAGAGTGAGACTCCAACTCAAAAAATAATAATAATAATAATAATTTTTAAAAAAACACCAAAGAAGTAGAGAGTAGAGCGATGGTTACTATAGGCCGGGAAGGGTAGAGGTGAAGAGAGGCTGGTTCATGGGTACAAATATGAGGTTAGATAGAAGGTGTACGTTCTAGTGCTCCTTTTTAAATTTTTTTCTTACATTTTTTTTAAATTTTAGAGATGTGGGGTACAATTCAGGACTAGGTATACAGATGTTCTACATTCTAGTGTTCAACAGCAGAGTAGAGTGACTATAGTTAGTAATTCATTGTCTATTTCAAAATCGCTAGAAGATCTGAAATGTTCCTAACACAAAGAAATGATCAGTGTTTAACATGATGAGTATCCTAAATACCATGGTTTGGTTATTAGTACACATTCTATGTATGTGTCGAAGTACCACATGGATCCCATACATATGTATAATTATTATGTATCAATTTCTTTTTTTTGAGTTGGAGTCTCACTTTGTTGCTCAGGCTGGAGTGCAATGGCACGCTCATGGCTACCACAGCCTCTGCCCACTGGGCTCAAGCGATTCTTCTGCCTCAGTCTTCCAAGTAGCTGGAACTACAGGTAAGTGCCATCACGCTCAGTTAATTTTTTTTTTTTTTTTTTGAGTTGGAGTCTCACTCTGTCACCCAGACTGGAGT